GTGGCCCCAGAGCCCTCATTCCTGCTGCTACTGCCAGTGAGTGCGAGGTTTTTTTGCGTTTTTTTGTTTTTTAAATTACTGGGAAGCTGGGGCTGGGTGTGGGGGGGAGCCGTTGGGGCGCGATCTGGCAGGGGGTGGCGATCGGGGAGTGGAGGCTGCATGGAGGGGCTCTGCCAGGAGGTCCCAGAGCCCTACAGCCAATGAGTGGGGCTTTTTTTTTTTTTTTTTTTAAGTGCCAGGACTGGGCTAGGCTGGGCAGGGCAGCCATGGGGGCTTCTCCTGCAGCTCCCTCTGCCTGAAGAGAGGCCGGCACAGCTGGAGGAGCTGCCTGGCTGTGCCTGCCTCTCCCTAGCCAATCTGAATCACCAGATTGGTGCCGAATCTTCGGAAGCCGATTCGTCCGAATCGATTCAGGACAGTGATCCAAATCTCCGAATCGAATCACTGTCCTCTGAACTGGCCAAATCTGAATCTGATTCAAATACTTCCCTAGTCGCACAGGGCTAGTCTTGACCACCATGGTCCTCACTTGTTCTGTCCCATGCACATGGTTGCGCCTCTCCTCATGTACAATCTCCTTTCATTTAATCTGCCATTCAGTATCCTTCACCAATCAGCACTCGCCTCGTCTCATGGGGTGATTACAACATTTTTCATGCCCCCTCAGCTGTTGCTAGGCGTACTCATCCCTAAGTAGGTCATCTTTTAACATGAAGTGAAAAGTTCACCTCATAACTTTACCATGCTGGCCAGCCTGAGGGACACTACTTCCAGCTCAACAGTATGAACATTTCATTTAGTTTTTTAAATGTAATTTTTTTTCATAAGCCACTTAATTTTGTTTTTAGTTAAGGGTTGTGAACATGTTTGTAATACAAATGGTTTAAATGGAAAAAAATAAAAAACCTAAAAATAAAAAGAACTGAAGTTGTGCTTCATTCAAATCAACTTAGTAGCCTGATGCAACTGGAACTGTAGAAGCTGCGTGATTACAAACACTTATCCAAGTTGTACTTCATAAATATATTCCCATTGTGTACTCTAGGGCCAACAGAACTCCCTGGATGCTAACCTACTTCTGAAATATAACTAAACTTTAAGACTTGCACACTCCCCAAAAACCCAACTCCTGAGATTGACCTCAGGTTTTCAGTAATATGAAAGAACCATAATAATATAATCTCCTCCCTAGAGCTGTTTGGCCTACTATCAGTGTAAGGCAAATGGGATTTTGGCTTTAACTAAACGATTTTCTGTCACATGCAGAAAGAAAGAAACACACTGATGGTGTGTTAAGTTTGACTGCAAAATTTGTACTGTGATGTACTTTTACATAACGGTAATTAAAGAATCTGGATTTTTAATGTGCATTCCCTGTTGCTGAAAAATGGCTTGGAATTAAAATGTGGAAGAAAACTACTTTATTTGCTTGTGCCAGCAGTTAGGGTTTCATAAAGTCGTAACGTCCCTTCCAGCCCCTAACAAGATCATCAGGTCCAGCCTCCCTGCACTTGGGCAGGAAAGACTGCTGGGGTCAGATGAGCATGGGCGTCAAGATGCTTTTTGAAGATCTCCAGGGTGAGCGACTGTACCACCTCTGCGAGGGGGGGGGGGGGGGGTGTCTGTTCCAGACCTTCAACACTCAAATTGTAAGGAAGTTTTTCCTTATGTCCAGTGTGAAGCAATCTTCAATCAGTTTGTGCCCATTGTTTCTTGTCTTCCCCTGGGGTGCCTTGGTGAACAGATGATCTCCCAGGCCCCTTATATACTTATAGGCTGCCAGCCAAGGCCCCTCTAAGTCTTCTCTTCTCCAGGCTGAACAGTCCCAAGTCTTTCAACCTCTCCTCATATGACCTGCTCTCCAGACCTCTAATCATGAGCGTGGCCCTCCTTTGGACTCTCTCAAGCTTCTCCACATCCTTGCTGAGGTGCAGTGTTGGCTACAAATGTCCAACTCGGGATCCTTAAAATTCTAGTTTATTAGGCAGATTGAAACACTGTAATCATAAACCTTGGGGCTGGTCCCCATGCACACATGCACACACACACACACAGTAGCAGGCTACCGAGTCAGGTATACCTATCCTACAAGCGCTGGAGTCTGTCGTTGAGGCTTCTTTCAGCACGGTGTTATCTTCCAGAAGGGGGTCGCCGGCTGGTCCTTCTGGCTGGACAGGTCTGGTCGAGTTGGAGATCGAGAGGGCGCCACTGAGGGTCACTTTTCACTGCCTTTTATCTGTCCCT